TAATTAGCTTACATATTATATTCGCTGTAAGATTATTACTTACATGTGATTTTTAATTTTTTGCAGCAGGTTTCACTGGGTACTGTATACAATGCTCTATGAATATAATAAAAGAAAATTAAGCAATTATTTCGTCATTAATCGGGCTTCGATTAATTTTGATTTTAATTATATGATGTATAGTAAAAATTACTATAATTTTTCGGTAGACCTGATTAATTAAATTACTGCATAGTGCTTAGTCGTAGTGTATTATAAGAATTAAATACCATGCAGTGATAAAATTTATATTGCTCATCTCTACTACTAATTAGAATCGAATGCAGAAATCGAATGTATTTTCTAACTTTCTTTCAAATTAATTAGACATGTTATTAGATTCTGAAAATGATGATGATATTCTACCACCACCACCTGATCTTGATCAAATAGAAAAACAATTCAAAATTGCTATTTCTGATTCTTTGAATAAATATTGGCATGAATTTCATGATGTTGGATTGATAGCTACTCTTTTAGACCCCCGAACCAAAAAAATAACCATATTTACAAATAGAGAACGAGAAAAGGCTGAAACAAAATTAAGGAATGAATTTGAGAATTTACATCTTAATATTACTAGCAATGATCAACCAGAGCAACAAGCATTACCATCAATGGCCACTGAAATAATGCAAAATCCATTTTTTGAAGGTATTTTTGGAGTACGAAGTCAAGAAGATACACCTTTAGATGAGGTGGCACGATATCTAATGATTACACCTATTAACTATAATGCGAATCCCTGGCAATGGTGGAATAATCATAAGACTGAGTTTCCAAATTTATCATTGTTAGCACATAAATATTTGTGCATACCAGCTACGTCTGTCCCATGTGAGAGACTTTTCTCAGATGCAGGAAACCTAATTACTCCCCAACGTACATGATTAGGCCCAAAGATCGTTGGAAACATTCTTTTTATTAAGCATAATGCTGAATATCTAAATAGGTTCAAAATTTATATATAGATTTAAATTCGAATATAATTTTTTTCACACGCAATTCTTTTTTATGTTATTTGCAATAGACTTAATCGAATAACAATTAAAAAAAAAAGGTATATACAATCTATGCTGAAAAAGTCGAATACAAAGATACTAGCATAATCATTATTATCAAAAGTGTGGTAACCCTTATGTCTACTAGAGGAATAAACATGAAATTGCTGTAAGCAAAGGTACTGACGATGGATATAATCCTATTGTATGGAATAAACTAGTTAGAAAGGGGTTTATAAGTATTGCAATAATGGCTTGATTTTTAATGAAAAATGGTACCATTCAAAATTCTATTCTAAGTTGCATAATATAACCAGAATATGCAATT